GTCCCCCAACCCCCTAGAAGGAAGTTAGCCTGTGAAGGACGTTGGCAGTCTCCATCTGTCCTGACAGCACCCACCCGTCACCAGGGCCCCGGGCAGTGATCCAGAGCAGAGGTCTCTTTCTACCTCTGAGGTTGAGGTTACTACTCTTGCTTTAAGAATGGGGAAACTGAGGCTCATATGCAAATCTGTAATCATCCTCAGGATATGTGTTGTGGTCACAACCTTGAGCGTAACATTTAGGGAAGAGAAGCTGATGGCCTATCTGCCTGGGCAATTTAGCCCTAATCCAGAAGGATGTTAGCTACAATTTGAAGTGAGGTCTGAGGATAGCTTTGTTCTTAGAGGTTAAGTCTTAGTGAAAGAAGCTGACTTTTAAAATGGAAACAAGATGCTGCTTAGGGAGAGAGGAGAAAATAACAGAGCAGTTTCCCCTGTATCCAGCCTTTGACAACTTAACATGTTAAGATAATGTAAATCCTATAAGCAAGGCTGTTGAAGTCTCCCGGTCGGAGTTTCTGTTTCCTTGGTGGAGAGGTGTAGAAGTGTAACCAGCTTGTGAGTAGAAGGACACAACATCCAGGGGATCTGTGAGGCCCTCAATTGAGGGCATTTGTGGTTTTGTGACTAGACATTCTGTTGTTATGGATCTTCCCATGGATCGTTTCCTTGGCCTGAGCACCACTGTAAGGGACCTCTGCTTCCTGAAAGTAGAGGGGAGCCAGCTTCTGTTGTCCTGTGGCTCAGCTGGGCTCCCTCACATCCCCCCAGGATGCCTCAGCCCAGAATTGCTTTAGCTCGGGGTGCCAGAGGGTGGAGGCAACAGGACTTACTTCACCAGTGGGAATTCATAACTAGGGCCCTTCCAAGGGGGTGTGGGTGGAGAACAGGGAGAGTTAACACAGGTACACAGGACACAAAAGGCTTGGCATCTGGTAGCAATGGCTACCTCCATGAGGCTTTCTATCTCTGAGCTCCAAACCTAGGACAGTGGACTCCCAATATGTCTTGGGCCCCTAGCAACACCTGGGAACTTACTGGAAATGACGAATCCATGGGCCCCACTGCAGCAGTGGGTGACCTGCCCAGCCCTCTAGGTGATTCTGGCATACTGGCATTGGAGGACTCCCACCCTAGGCAATCTTATGTCCCTGGGCCTGGGACATCTTCTGCCTACCCTAGAAATTGACTACTGGTCAGACTGGGGCAAGTTGTTCCTTTTAGGCTATGGAGAGCACACAGAGCCAGACTTTGTCCGAAAGGACATAGCATCTTCATAGACTAATTTTATCCCCCATGACCAACCAAAAAATCTGGTTTCCGAGAGGATCCCCCCCCTGTGTCAGCTCCATTTCTAAGCCCACACTCTTTAGATACTGTATTGGGCCTCTTGAAAGGAACAGATGCTGATGAGGATGGGGCCCCCTGGACTTGCCTATAAACATCCCAGACCCTCAGAAAAGAGGCAAGGGCTAGTTCCCTGCAGGCCCAGCATGCCCCAGCATCCCCACAGACATCGGGCTTTGCTGGACTCCCAGCTGACTTGTTCTTCATCCTTGAAAAAAAGGAAATCAACTTCAAACATTGCATTTACTTCAACTTTGGATGCCATGAGGTCTAAATGGGCACTGGTTGGGGCTTTGCTGCCACACAGATGTGTACATGTTCTTTATACTGTGCTCCAGGAGCCATGACAAGAGTCTCATGAGGGGTAGGAAATTGCCCCAGACCTGCCTTTGCTTGTATGGGCCAACAGCATCTGCCAGGGTCAGCCACGAAGACACCACATGCTGGTCTGGGTGTGCAGGGGCTTTGCAAGCCCTCGCTTATGCCATGACTTTTCCTCATCACTTGTCACTTTCCCACCAAGGTCCTTCTTTCAGGGGACTTTGGGGGAGAAGTGGTTTGCTCATCCAGGAAAGTGTGTACTCTCCTAAGGGCCCTTCCTCCCACTGAGTCCCTGTCCCATTTCTTCCTGAAGTACCACCCATGCCTGCCCTTTCTGCTTCTGGGTGAATTCCTGCTCTGGCAGATTGCAAACAAATGCTTTGCCCCTTGTCCTGGTCTCCCAGCCAGACCGCAGATGGCCTTTTGAAATCATAGCACAGACTCTCCCTTCACATTCCCTTTCCCTCCAGGTGGCATTTCTCCTGTTCCTTTAGCTTCTTTATTCTGAACATTTCTACATTCTTGCAAACCCAGTTGCCTTCAGAAGGAGCCCCACGCTCTCCAGAAACTCCCAGTGATCGCCAGTCCTTGGCTGAGGATAATCAGGGGAGATACCCAGCCATCCCAGGACTGGGAGGCGAGAGGTGAGGGACTGCCCCTGGCCTCACCAAACAGCTTGTTGTGTGGCCTCAGATATGTCAGGTGCCATCACTGAGGCTAGGGAAGGAAGCTGTCTGGACAGAGTGGCGTGTTAACTTAGAGCATCTAGAAAGTGTTTAATCAGGAAATTCCAACTGAGGAACCAGACAGGGAGTAGGTAGCCAAGCCAGAGGCCCACTATTGCTGAATGGGAGTGTGGTTTAAGGAAAATAGGAAGCCCATGTAGGAAAAGTCTAGAGCTGAAAGCACCTGAGAGATGGGGAAGGCACATGTCAGGTCAGGGTGACGTGAAAGAGGTCAGGGTTTAGGGAAAAGGCTGGAGCTCTGAACACATAGGAGCAAAATAGATGGGCAGCACACACACGCAGGACCCCATGGATTTGTTTCCAGGTCCTTTGCTGAGCATGCTGGTTGAGCAAAATTTTGGATCTTGGCTGCCTTGGATTCTTAGCCTACTTCATTTTATATCGAGCAGCTTGAACAATCTGCCAGCGGTTCAGACCCTGAACTGTGGCAGCTCCTATAATGTGCTCCAGGTGCCAGGTACCCTGAGGCAACTGGTCTACCTCTGGGCCACCCTTGGGTGTCCTGCCCCAGCGAGGTGTTGCAGTCTGAGCCAGTTACCATCTGGGTCTCCACGTGTCACCTAAATCTCCTCAGCCCTTTCAAGTCCACTTGCCTGCACTCATTCCTTGCCTGGCTTCTGGCTGCTAAAGGCTCCAGCCTTGCCCTTGGCCTGCCTTTCTGTCACTTTGAACACATTTGAATTTTTCTTTTCTTCCTTCCCCCCACCCCCCAAATGCTGCTCTTTCTCAGTTTTCTTAATGGTCATTTTTAGACTCACTTTGCTCAGCAGTTAGCGGATCTTCAGATCTTCTCCGAAGCGTATTCAGTTATGCTACCATTTTTGGATGCGCAACAGTAATTTTCTCACAGTTCTTCCCTAAGGAAATGAAAGGATCCCAGGATGAGACTCTGGGAGTGTTGCTTAGGAGGAACACACATTCACTCTTCACGGGGCATCCCGTCCTGGGGTGGTTCTCCAGGTGTGGTCCCGACGAGCAGCAGCAGCAGCAGCAGCAGCCTCGCCTGGCAACTTGTTAGAGATGCACAGCCCTGCTGCGCACGGGGTCCCACAGTCTGTTTTGATAGCCCTGGAGAGGCAGACGCACATTCCTGTTAAAGAACCAGTGCAGGGCGCCTGGGTGGCCCAGTCAGTGAAGCATTCCACTCTTGGTTTTGGTTCAGGTTGTGATCTTATGGGTCATGGGATCGAGCACCTCATTGGGCTCTGCACTCAGCAGGGAGTCTGCTTGAGAGTCTCTCCTTCTGCCCCTCCCCCTACTTATGATCGCTCGCTTGCTCGCTGGCAAATAAATAAATCTTAAAAAAAAAAAAAAAAAGACCAGCACTACCATCACAAAGCATGTGGATTCTGATTAAGTTGTGAGCCATGGGGCCAAGAGGAAGTTGCTGTAGGAGTGGGTAGTACAAGGAGAGAAGCACCTTGCCTAGCACCCCTCCAAGCATCGTGGGAAGGAGCAAAATTACCTTGGCCTGAGTTAATCTGGCTGTTGACTCCTTTACGCCTTAAAGCACTAATCCCTAATGCAGGGTGATGAGGAAACTCGGTCTTGTTCTGGAAGTATTCACTTCAGGGGCATAAGTGGAGAGGGGAGTTTTAGCAATATAACTACTGAACAATTAAATACTCCATGTTCACCATACTATAAATCTAAGTATGTTGTTTTGCAGAATATAAAACCCATGCATTTGTTTTTGAAGGGAGAACAGGAGTTCATATCTCCTTCCCACTTTTCATGAACTGACTTGGGCTGTGCTGTCCGGAGCCACTCAGGGTCAGGTTACTCTTCTCTGATCACACCCAGGCCTTTTTGAAAGGTTTGGGAGACAGGGGTCTTCTTGGGTTGGGTCTTAACAGAGAACTGGGGGGGCTCATTCCCAGCCATGTCTCAATGAGCTCTGGGCTTCCTGACCTCAACAGGAAAGTCAGGGTGGTTGCTCCAGACTGTTCTGCTGGCTCTTCCAACCAAGACAGAGGTTGCCCCATGTAGCCCCAAGGGAAATGTGAATCCAGTGAAGTTGTAGCCGCCTTGGATGGTGTGTGGGAGTCAGAGGCTGGCGTCTGCCCCAGGCAGCGCTCAGAGGGGCAGGCTTCCAGCCTCAGTGGGACTTCTGAGGACTTTTTTGCCTTCACGCCCCCTCCTCTCTAACAAATAATTTAAAAATATGTATGAGGGGTGCCTGGGTGGCTCAGTGGGTTAAGCCGCTGCCTTCGGCTCGGGTCGTGATCTCGGGGTCCTGGGATCGAGCCCCGCATCGGGCTCTCTGCACAGCGGGGAGCCTGCTTCCCTTCCTCTCTCTGCCTGCCTTTCTGCCTACTTGTGATCTCTGCCTGTCAAATAAATAAATAAAATCTTTTAAAAAAAATATGTATGACAACTATGTGGATATAAAGACAGATAGACTACAAGCTAGATTCTATTCATTTTTTTTCTCTTCTGATTTTAAAATATTTTCTTGGGCCTCTCAAAGTAAGGTGGGCCCCAGGCACCACGCTTGCTGGGCCTAGTGGAGAAGTCAGTGCTGCTGAGATCCTCTGAAAATTTCTCCGAGTCTTAAACCTGGAATAACCCAGCCCTTTGGTCATTCAGAAAATTGGCTGTGATGGCATTATCGGGTCTGCGGCCAAGGAAGACCGGTGTGGAGTCTGCAGTGGGGACGGCAAGACATGCCGAGTGGTGAAGGGTGACTTCAGCCACTCTCGGGGCACAGGTGAGTGTGAAGCCTGAGGACAAGGCGACCCTGGCCTTTCCAAGGGGGGACGATGGGTGAGGGGGAGACCCAAGGGCTTACTGCAAGTGTAAGACAGTATTTTATAGGTTTTATTCCTTTTGCACAAAACCGAGGATCACCTGCCTTCCCTGCACTTCACTGATAAGGGCTAGTTGGTGATAGATAGGCGACCTGGCCTGTTAGTGTGAGGACTGCTGAAAGGCAAAGAGAAAACACGTTAGCCAGAATATCTTGAGGTTCCTAGATGTGAGTAGCTTGCCGGACCAACCAGCCCCCCTGAAGCTTCATGTCAGCCCATCTTCTGATGGGATGCCATGCCATGTTGTTTTCACCTACAGATAGGAGAGGTTTACTCAGAGTTTTGTTCAGTTAAAGTAGGATAGCGTTTACACACATCCCTAAATGGCTCATAAAGCCTTTTCTCCCTGGAAGCCTGAGTTGCCACTGCTGACTGTGAATGCAAAGTAGGGGAGTTTCCTGTTTCCCAAATGTAGGACCCCCCGCAAAGCTGTGCTTAGAGAAGACCATCAAAGTTCAGCTGATGGGTCATTCTGCTTGAACCACCTGCACAGGTATAGGCTGCTTTGCCCAGAGATGGGAGATGGTTTCTGATCACCTGTCCCGGAGAACATCAGCTTATGGTGCCCAGGGAGGTATCTGGGTTGATACGTACATAATGAGAGGAGCAGGAGGCGGGCAGGTCATCTGGGGGGAAAACTCTTCTGGAAGCCTTAGAGAGTGTCTACTCACCCATCACCAAGAGCAACATCAGCAACATAGCTTGTTGGGTGGAGCTGAGCTGAAAAGCCTCTATTTCAATTTGAATGATGGCTTTGGATAGAAGATTTTCAGTTCAGTGTTACCTCCACAGGAAAACAAAATCACAGGCAGGCCTCTCTGTCCCACGGAACACAGGCCCCTGGGACTGAGGTGGAGAGGAGAAGTCCGTGTATGCTCCCCAGTCTCTACATGGATGGGAGACCTGGTCTAGAGGAAACATTTCTTCTTGATAACTTGCAGAAACAGTAACCTATTACACAGGCATGTTGCAGGATCTTGCAAAAGCAAAACCAGAGGCCAATGCAAGCACAAAATTTTCATTTTAAGATTACGCTTAAAAAAATGACATTTCAGGGGGGTGGGAGGTTGGGGGAACCAGGTGGTGGGTATTAGAGAGGGCACGGATTGCATGGAGCACTGGGTGTGGTGCAAAAACGATGAATATTGTTATTCTGAAAAAAAAAATGACATTTCAGGCCAGGTTTCTGGATTTTAAAGACAGGTGCCCAGCCTGTGCAATAGGAAACGCGTGAGAATCTGTGCCTTTCACATTGATCCTGAGATAAACTGAGGAAGGAAACGCTAGAACAAGTCGGTTTGGAGGGGTGGTGGGGAAGTAACGTCCAAAGCTGCATCATTCAGGACAGTAGCCACAGGCCACTTTAGTCTATTCAAATTTTAATTATAATTAAAATTTAAATTTGAGATTCAGCCCTCAGCCCCACTAGCCACATTTCAGGTGCTCCGCGGTCACGTGTGGCTTGGGGCTCCTGTGCCAGACAGCCCAGAGAGAGAATGTTTCCATCACTGCGGAAAGTTCTGGAACAACACTGCGCTGGAGCTTTGGTGATTTCTATATATTTTGACATGTCTGTGGCCACTTCCTCTATTTGGATCCCAGCTCCAGGTTGCCATGAGACTTTGACCTTGCCTAATGTGCCAGCAAGGGGATCGAGGAACAAAAACCTCTGCAGTTGGCAAGTTTGACTACTGATTAAAAAAAAAAAAAAGGCATTAGAACCCTTTAAGTCAGATGTGTTGAGCTCCGATGAACTGAACTGACCACAGTTGCTCCCTTCTGTGGAAGGTGGGTTGAACACAGATACACCCACTCTTGCCCCCTGGGCAATTCACTAGAACAGCAAGGCCCTTTCTGCCACAGGCCTTAGCAGCTCACTTCCAAAAGAGTCCTGATGGAGCAGAAAATGTTCTCTCTTTCCTACCCCTCCCCCCAGTCTAATCCCCTTGTTGACCTTTGATCTCGACAGGAGTAAATCCATTCTCCCAGTCACGGTAAATTTTTTTTTTCTTTTCTCTCCCCTTTCTCCATCCTACCTGGTGCCTGGGTCCCATCTGTGCAAGGGAGGAAGGTGAGCAGGAATGTGGAGCCTTCCTCCTAAGGTGGTCAGGATTCTGGGGCTCAGGCAGTGAGTCCCTCCTGGAGGGACAGATTACCATTGGAAGCCTCCCGAGGGGTAGCTGTCCCCACCCTGGCTCGTGGTGTTCTGCTTCCTTCCAGTTTCTGGGGCACAGAAGTCTTAGGGATGTGGTTTTGGAGTATAGGTGAGGTTCAGTGGGGTGAGGTCCAGAGCTGACGACCAAGAAAGAATTCTTGAGACCTTTTTGGTGCAAAATGGTGGTTTTATTAAAGCACGTGGACAGGACCCATGAGCAGAAAAAGCCGCCACACTGGGGTCTTGAGTGATTAGATACTCAGGAGTTGGGGGATTAAGGAAAAGGAAGATTTCAAAAGGACTTTCATATGCTAAAGAGGGCCAACCTATAAGATACCAGAGGTCTTGCCATTGTCAAGTTCGGGTTGTCTTCCCTTCTAGCAAGGTATTAACATTTAGTTGGGAGATTCCTGGAAGAATGTCCCATAGGTCCCACCCAGGAGTGTGCAGTTGAGGGGAAGTTGCAGGTGTCAGCTTATGTTTGGTCCTCAGCTAGCCTTCTACTCCCTCATCATTAACAAACCTTCCAAGAAAGATAAGCACTGTTCAGCTTCTCCCACCTGGAAATTTCTGTCCTTCCGAGCAGTTGGCCAAATGTTACATCTTGGTTCTAAAGTCTGAAGCCAGTTACTTCCAAATCCTCACCATCAGATTCTGTGAGCAGAAGCTCCTATCAGTGTGGATTCTTCTTCCCGAGGCTGTGTGTGAAATGCTCACTCACACATGAATGAGTCACGTTTAATAGCGTTTCATCAAACGCAAAGCTGACATTCTGGAATGTACTTTTGCGAAGATACTGACAGTCACCCAGTAACCATTAATGCGACACTACTAGATTTTAAGCATGAGGTGTACAGAAATAAAAGTTAACAGCCACCCAGTCAGTCACCACGGAGGGAGGGTACCCCCAGGCAAGCAGCTTGAGTCCATGTGTGAGGCGAGGCCGCTCAGTGGGGGGTGCTGTGGGGCCCCAAATTCTGGTGGGGCCGCTAGCCCAGGCCTGCTGAAAGATGAGGGTGGTCCCTGAGCCTTAAAGGACAGGTAAAAATGAACTAATAGTGCCACTGGAGGAAGGACATTTCAGGCTGAAGTGAAAAAAACAAACAAACTTTGAAATGGTATAAAGCCCCCTAGATCCGGGAACGGGCAGATTCACTAATCCTGTCAGTTTAGATAGGAAGGTGACTTTCATCTCCGGGCATCTAGAAAGACTGGGAGAAGGAGGAATGTCTTATCACCCTTCAGGGTGAATATTGGAAATAAATGCCACACCAGAAAGATAACAAGTAATCAAATGCAGGAGTTTTGCCTAGTTAGATGAAGTCCAGATCCTTGCCTGAACTTTCCTGGATTTGGTCATGAAAGTGCTTGAACTGAGACTCCAGAGTGGACCCAAACAGGCCCCAGTGTCCACAGACCCCAGGAGGTCCCCCCCTTGTGTCCTTTAGAGGTCATCAGCAGTGAGTGGGGTTATGGCATTCTGAGTGTAGGCTCTTTATTACTCCCTGGCCTATTGACTCCGGACTTTGGAATAAGCGAAGTCCTCAGCAACTCAACTATGGGAAGAATCTTCTCGAATGGCTATTGTATTACGTCTTTCATGGATGGGCTTGAACATGCTCAAGGCTTTGGTTGAGTTGAAGCAGCTGAGTTTTTTAATTTAGTAGCTTAAACGTTCTTGGTATGATGCCTCCACTTCATTCAAGTGTGTCTGTAACTATTTTATCTTTATTTTGTGCTCTTCCTCAGTGCTGCAAGGGTGACTAGTAGTCCCTGCAGTCACCACAGAGAACCATCTATGGTGCCCCATGGGTTCTAAATTGCTTTGCACTTATCCTCAAAGAGAACCTTCTCGAACAATGAATTCTTAAAAGGGAAGGTGACATGATCTATCCCTTTTGAGCATGGATAGATCTGCAAGTCACGTATTTATTTAGTAATTATCTTTAGAAACTCTGACACATGCCACGTTCTCTTCTCTGAGTGTGGGGTATGGAAGAGCCATGGGGAAATTTACGTGATGACAGATAATGATGCTTCTCACCACTGTGATTAAGAACTACAGAATCAGTTCCTGAAATGTACCTAGAAACCAATGATCATGTATTTCTTTTCCTCAGTCAAGAATAATCTTTGTACGAAGGTGTCCACATGTGTGATGGCAAAGGCTGTTCCCAAGTGTTTCTCATGTAAGATGTTTATGTGTCATGCGCCGCACTTGAGGTGATACGTCTGGTGTGGGATTCTTTCCTTGCTTCCGTGCCTGAATGTTTTCTGAGCCAAGTCAATGGGAATGAGTCATGCATGAAGCCATGGATAAACTCAAAGGCCTTTTGTCATTTCTGTATAATTGATGTTTAAGACTTACTGCCAAAAAGAAAAACTATAGAATAAAACTGATTTTTAAAGCTATGAAAGGTAAAGAGTTATGAGATCAGAGACCAGACAGAAAGTTGTGTCAATATGCCAGGGGATACATCTTCATTCTCCTCAGCCACACCTAGCTCTTGAGCAGAAAAATGCTATGACTTGCTGGAGAATTTGCCACAGATGGTCCGATCTTCCATAGAGAAGGGTCCGTATCACAGACTTGGACTTCCCAAAGGGCAGGGGATCACATCCTCCTGGTCTTCATAGTAGAGATAAGGTCACAGGCCCACCTGCACCGATCTCACGTTCTGGGAACTGAACAAGGGTGTGAGTCTGGCCCCACAGGTTTCCCAAACAATGAGGTCTTTCCAGTGA